ATTCAAAACTGTTTTGTTTCAAAACAAACATGAAATCAAACGTTCTAACTTTTCGTGAAATTAGTCTATACTTGTATGTTATATATAGAACAAGAGCATATACTGTACGTAAAAATCACATCATGATTAGTAGAGGCCGATCCTTGATCGGGTGAGTGAAGTGTTCAATTATTGACCTTCCCCTCTCATACCTAAGTTCCCAAACCAAGACACTTTGGTAACGACGGACTAATAGCCTTTGGCACGAGTCATGGGTTTCCTAGATTTCCCAAAATAAATATTTAGGTGGCGACTCTAATATCTGGCAAAGCAGTCCATTTTTTGCATTTGATTCAAACATCGATTTTTCAAAAGAAATTGCCGGATTTGGACTCTTTTTGTGTTTTCACTGTTTCACATTGCACTTGTGAAATCAGGATCAGAACCAACACAAGTGGAGTCCGAACTGTAAGGGCTATTCATTCTTCCGAAAGGGAGCGCGAAAAATCGAGCTACAATTTCTGGCGACTCTGCTGGGGAATTAGAGAACTTGACTCAAACTTCATGATGTGAAATTTTATCTACATAAATATGTTCTTTGCATTGCATTTGCATTGGTGCACCCAAGTCCTTGTGTTTGCCATCTGTTATTCCTGGACGGTTTGCCAGAGGCTTGCCTACAAAGCTTGCCAAAAGGCTGACCGGTCATGGGCTCTGCCAAGTTGGGAACACAACCCTTGGATCTAGATTACCATTGTGCCGCTTGATTCTCCTTTCACTTCTCGGTGTTAGCTGTGAGAAGTATATTAGGTAGTCTTGTTGAGGTACCCTTTGTGACTATTTAACCTAATGCATATAGTACGCTCAAGTAACTATTCAAATTAGGATAGGATGCAACCTGTACAGGATGTTATGAAACCACATGCTTAAAATAGTGCAACCTAGATCATGTCAAAATCTAGGACAGGGTAACCCTATCCCCTCATATGGGTGTTTTGGTTCTTTTTATGTGGTATGTGCTTTTATAGTGAAATATACAGGGTGGTTCATAGCAGTGGTACAAATGAGCAATCAATCTGAGAACAAAGTTCAGTGGGGATCACAGTTCAGCTGCATGTTGTGATTAATTGGGAGTTAAGGCCGCCGAAGTGCTGTCCGTTTTTTTAAAATATGTTTTCTTTCTTTCTTTTTGCTAAGTAGTTTTTCATCATAGCTTCAGAAAGGCTCGATATCCCTCGAGTTGTTTGGACTCGTTCTTGTAGGCTTTGTAAAACACAAGATCTTGTTGACGATCAGCCAGTGTTAGTTTCTCTCCCGTCGATTACTCGAAAAAGAAGGAATAGACAGTCAGTATCAGTACCAAGCACTCAAAAAACTCCTGTTCACTCAGCAACATCTAATTCATCCAATCCAACAATGGCACAAAACCCAACACAAAACATAGAAGAAGTTACTGCCATGATGGTAGCAGTCCAAAGACCATGGATACGGTCAACCAACGAATGGCCACATAGGATGAAGTCATCGCTGATCTGCGACGCCCATTTGGGGCATCTGCATCCACTATACATCCAATCCCAGCTACCCAGCCAAATCCAGATCTCCCTCCACCACTAGACACTCCTCAGGTCCCAGATCCTTAGGAGATGTTTCCAACAGCTTCAGCTTACAGACCTCCGATACAACCTCCTACGGGAACCATTCCCTTCAATATGAATGAAGTTGATCCAGCCATGATCAAAATTGCTAGGCTTGAGAAAACCTTGAAGAAATCCCAGGGTTTCAACTCAATTCCTGACATTGAGGACGGGTACACTGAGGTTTCAGTTAGGTTGCCAGAAAAATTCAAAATGCCTCACATCGATAGATTTGATGGGGGTGGGGATCCGATTGTGCATGTCCGCTTGTTTTCAGATGTGTTGAGGCCCATGGGTTTATCTAGGGCACAAAAACTCTCATTGTTTGGGAGGACCATGTCAGATGTAGCGGCCATCTAGTACGCCAAACTGGAGGACTCAACGAAGCAGAATTGGGATGAACTGTCTGAGGGGTTTGTTAACCAATACTCATACAATACTCAGATAGAAGTAACAATCAGTGAGCTAGAAGCAACCACTCAGAACCCTAAAGAACCCTTCATTGACTTTGTGGCAAGATGGAGGGCAAAGGCAGCCAGAATGACGAACAGACCTTCTGAAAGAGAACAAGTCAGGTTAGTGGTCCAAAACCTCGAGCCAGACATGTTGCAAAGAATGATAGTGGCACCGTTGTCCACATTTGCTTCTTTACATAAGTTAGGGATTCAAATTGAAAGCGCCTTCAAAAAGGGCATCAACCACAGAACCTGTAAAAAAGCCATTCATTTGGAGTACCAATGCCAGTACTAGCACTATTCCGCAGCCTGCAGATGTCAGTACCAGTGCTACATTATCGGCCAAGATGGTCTATCCCTTTGCTGCTGCCATAAACTCACAAACCGCACAAAATAGTCAACCTTGGAACTGAAGACTTTTTACCCTCCCTCCATATAAGTCCAACCCATGCCCTCAAGGTGTTAATGGACAAGGGGCATCTCAAGCCTTTTGATCCTCGCCCTCTCCCAGACCCACTGCCAGCTAGACACGACCCAACCCAATATTGTACTTTCCACCAATAACAAGGCCATCATACAGATTCATGCTTTTGTCTACGTCATGAGATCCAGAATCTCATTGACAACAAAGTCATCGCCCCTCCTCAACCAAATGTGACAATCAACCCATTTCCTACACATAACTAAGTTCCTCCCCCCAGAAATATTAACCACATCCAAACACTACCACCTACCTTCAACCCAAGCATATATATTACCTCGTCCCACCTACTAAAACCAGAGGTGGTTTTTCCAAAAGGCACGGACATGTGCATGTTGGATCTAGCCCTACAAATCCAACCTAAAAAGGTTGTGGCAGGAACAGAGAAAGAGGAGAGTGCATTAAAGACAAGGTTATCTGATACTTGTGTCATAGAAAATGGGGCTTCGCTTGCAGAGGAGTATGACCCCAGTTTATACATTGTGGCCATTGATCAACCAAAACCAGTGGTATTGTCGGATATTCTCAGTGTCAATGCTATCGGGGAAAGCCAGTTAGGGCAACATCAGAAAGATTGGCCTGAACAAGGCCTAAATGACCTGGCCGAACTGGAAGAGGATCTAGTTTAGATAGAAGAAGACCTAGCCAATCTCTACTTCTTTGAAGAAAAGTAAACAAGAAGTGTCCAGATAGGCTGGTTGGATTCAAGTCAGCTGGAAATAAACAACGGTTGGTTTGGTGACGAAGAGCTAGATGAGGTGGAACAGACAAAAGGGGTCAGGGAGGAAAAAGCTGAGACCACATCCATTACTAGTACAGAACAAGCGCTGGAACAATTCCAGCAGGAGAGAATGGAAGAAATTCAAAGGAAGATGGCCTTGCCAAAAACCAAAACCATAGTTGGAAAGGAAAGGTATGTTGCTGAGGGGCGTGATGTGAACATGCTCCAAGTAGAGTATGGTAAAAGCTTGGCCATGACTGCCGGAGAGTGGCAGGAAGATAATGGTCTGAGTCATGCATACACAGACGAATGGTGGAAATCCAATACCTCCGATGATACGTGGTATACAGACGGAATTAATCACATGACCCGGAGTGGTCGGTACTTTAAACCTGCGGCTGTAGGTCAACCAGAATCCTCTAACAAAGAGGTTGATAACACCAAAGAGAAGGACTATGAAGACAACCTGGTTTTGAAACAGCTCAAGAAAATTCAGGCAAATATCTCAATCTGGGGATTGATAATGGCTTCTCGGGAGCATAGGCAAGCATTGCTAGAGGCAATGAATTGCACCAAATTGCCTATCGACACTACCGCTGATCAACTAGTGTCATTAGTCACATCCGGCGATGTTACACTAGTGATATCTTTCACGGATAAAGAGCTGCCATTTGAGGGTGTCAACCACAATCGGCCCTTGTATGTAACTCTGGAGAGCCGAAAGAAGTGGATTCTGGTAGTGTTAGTAGATATTAGATCGGCGATCAATATGTGTCCGGCGCGGACTACTCATGCCATAGGTTTGAGGCCTGCTGACTTCACACCCACAACTCAAGCCATCCGAGCTTATGACAATACAAGCCGGGATGTCATGAGAATATTCAAGAGCCATATCCTGATCGGCCCGTCTGAACATGAGGTAGAATTCCATGTAATGGATGTACCGGCTACCTTCAATCTGCATCAGATAAAAGCTATGTCATCAACAGTTCACCAATTGGTGAAATACCCCTTCAAAGGTGGGATTGCTACGGTGTATAGTAATTCGTCGATCCACCCTCCCTAGGGAACTGCCACACTAGTGTTGGAAATCATACACGGGGAAGAAGATGTATTCCTCTCTGGCTTCTCACTAATAGAAGCCCGGGTAGTCCAATCTATCATGGCAGAAGCTGATGGAATCTATGTGAGTATTCAGTCCATCTGCATGATGAACAAACAGGGGCATATGCCTAGATCAAGACTAGGCAGGAGTGGCAGGTAAGGAGGCGCTGTTACCAAGGAGCTGATTCACAACCCCCACGCTTTTGGGCTGGGATACAAACCTATTGCTGAGGATTGACAAAAGAAGTGGGCTGAGTTGAGAGGAAGAATTAAAGCAAAAAAGGATGGAAAACAATATGAGTTAGTTCACAAACCAATACGGGGAACCTTGAATGGACGCTTTGTTTGCCAAGGGGAAGATTTCCCCTTTTATAGATTTCTAGAGCCTTAGTTTGACCAGGAGACGAAGACAATCTATCCCGGGTTCGAGATCTTCTTTGAGCACCAATTACCGGAAGAGGAAGATGAGCAAATGGACCTGAGTACTAATATAGGTCAAGACAGGACTGTAACTGTGAACGTTGAAGGAGAAAAGCTGTTGGAAAAAACACTAACTGACTTACTAGCAAATTCTACTGTCGGAACTGAGTCTAACAACTTAGGGGGATAGTTTTACTATCTCAATGATCGGGGATAAACCAGAAGCGGATTTCTCTAAACTTATTGTGGATGCATCTGAGGCTCCACACCTAATTTGGAAATTTGAAAAGGGCATCATTAGCAATTTTGAATCAAATAATAAGTTTGAATCTGATTCTATCGAGTCTGTAGAGTTGGAGTCAGATTCGAGTTCTTCTGAGTCTAGTATTTCCAAGAGTGGTAACCCGGATGCCAAAGTCCTGTCAAAGTCTTCTTTTAGTTTTTCTTTTGAGTCAACTGTAACCGAGGACCCAGACTTTACTAATGGGAATGTCGTAGAGTTTGCTTATTTCTCTGTGCCTTTAGTTTGTTGCACTGATCTTGATTTTCAAAATTTTGACTTAAACGAAGAGGAAGAAATTCCTCGGGTTTCGAAAATTTTGGTTGACCAAGAGGAGGAGAGGCGCGTTAAGCCCTGCACAAATGAAATCACTGCAATTAATGTGGGTATTGAGGAGGATCCCCATTTGGTCTAGATCGGATCCACATTGTTTTCGAAGGAACGCGAGCGTTTAATCGCTTTATTAAAAGATTTCAAAGATGTTTGAATACCCAACTTGGTTGGCTAATATCGTTTCGGTTCCAAAGAAAGATGGCAGAATTAGGGTCTACGTCGACTTCCGGGATCTAAATAAAGCAAGTCCGAAAGATGATTTTCCATTGCCACACATCGATGAACTGATAGACTCCACAACTGGCGGCGAATAGTACCTCCGGCGGTGAATAGTAACCTCCGGCGATGAATAGTAAAAGTGATAGGTTTCTCTCAAATTCTTTTGGAGCAGTTTTTCAACATCTAAACTATGTGATTTGAAGTTGTAAAAGTTGAGGGGTTAGCCACCCTTCCTTCTACTTGTTTACTAAATTGATCCTATTTAATTTTACTCGCTTTTTATAACGTAATTTCAGCACTATTATATGCTATTTAAGGGGCTATTTAATTTATTTCAATGATTTATATTTTAAATATCAAGTTTGTTTGTACTAACCAATTAATCAACTTCGTGTAATCATCTCTGCAACCTCCCTCCATTCTTTGCTAATTTCGATTAAAAAGTTGTAAAAAATTAAGATTGTGGTTCAAGTATAAGAAAGGAACTCTTCCATGCTTAATGGTTTAATCTCTTCGGAGGTTCATAACCAAAGGTATAAAACGCTCTATGCTTAATGGTTTAATCTCTTTGGAGATTCATTACCAAAGGCATAAAACGTTTTATGCTTAAGAAGTTCATTACCAAAGGTATAAAACGTTCTATGCTTAATAGTTTAATCTCTTTGGAGATTCACTACCAAAGGCATAAAACGTTTTATGCTTAGGAGGTTTATTACCAAAGGTATAAAACGTTCTATACTTAATGGTTTAATCTCTTTGGAGATTCAGGCATAAAACATTTTATGCTTAGGAGGTTCATTACCAAAAATATACAGCGTTCAATGCTTACTGATTTAATCTCTTAGGAAATTTACTACCAAAGGCATAAAACGCTCTATACTTAACGATTTAAATTCTTTACAGTTTCACTACCCCAAATGTATACATGTTCTTATACTAAAGCACAATATTTTATTTTTCATTTCTCTTTATTCATCAGTATGTTTACTTTTAAGGGACTAATTGACCCTCGGAAATCACCTAGGAAAGTGTCATTATCACTTATTATCAAGTTTGGATTTCAAGTCATTATCACTCAAGTTTGGGTTTTTCTAAGTCATTATCACTCTTTTGAGTTTGACTAGTCCTTGTTGCACATCTTGAGTTTAATTTGGAATCCCTTATCGCTTGTAAATAAGTTTGACTCTTCCTTTGTAATTTCCCCCAAAGAAAATAAGATTTGTTTCTCGGGTTAAGTTGATGCTTGTTTCTCTTTATTGCATTTTGGACTTAGTGGACGTAAATATCACTTTTGCACAAACAGGAGAAAAGATAAAGAAATGGAAAGGTAATAAAAAAGGTTAATAAAATTGATTAAAATTGGATTACAACCGACATAAAGAACCAATATGATTAATTGAATTCGGTCGGACGTTATACCGAGTTTATTGTGTCAAGGCTTGTCTTACATCAATTCCTGATATTTTGATGAACCTTGAAGCGTCTATCTTCCCTTCTTGAATTCTCTTCATGATAGGAGGAAGGGGTGGTTGTTTGTTCATTGCATTTATTGATCATTGTCCAAATTGTATCCGGGATCATCAAGCAATCAACTTGCTAATTGATGGTTTTGGAGATGATTCCAACCCTCTCTTGAGTATTTTTATGATAGAGAAGGGTAAAACAAAGACAAACATGGCTAGGAATACCCTGTCTGCACTGTTTCACCTCAAGTACAAAAAACAGATTTCCACAAGAAAACAAAGTATTGGATTTATTTAGGGCTCGACTGAGTGGCGTTTTGGGGTCGGAAAGGCTCCAATAAATTGCAAAACAAGACACTTTTGGTCGAAAGCAGTAACTAGGGATGAAACAGAACAAATCCTAGCAAGGTAGACAGAATAATTGTTGAGGAACATTGAGCAATCATTGCATATTATTATTGTAATAAATGAGACAGCCCCTTTCATTTCTTATTCATTTGGCTTTGTAATAATTATTTATTCGGACATTTGGACATTCGGACCCTCCTTCGCGAGGACAAATATGTAATAAGTTGTATGTCTTCCAACTCCCATTCTTTCTCCCTTTTATTTCACTACTTATGATGGTTAGATTAGGGACATTGTGTTTAATTAGCATTTTCCATGATTTGCATCCATTCATTTACATGCATAAAAGTTCAGCTCATCATATTATTCAAATGTCAAAATCAAACTCCTTACTTGCATACATGCGCTATCACATGCCTTGAATTGACTCGCATGTCATACTAGTAGCCGAACTTTAATTGCACGTTGCATGTGTTGCATTAGTCATTAAATTAGGATTATGCATTTTTTTCTTACTAGTTGCTTTCTTTTTAGACTCGCCTTCGGACATTAAGGTAAGCATTTTTGCTTTAGCATATTACATAAGTGTAAATGCTCTCATATCAAACATACTACCATGAGGCTAACTACTTATTTGATATACCTGTTGGAATGCCTGTGGATGAAGGCTAATCACTTGAATTGGGATACTTTGATTCATGTATATATGAGATCACCATTTTAAGTGATACATATTCAAAACTCTTTTGTTTCAAAAAAAACATGAAATCAAACGTTCCAACTTTTCATGAAATTAGTCTATACTTGTATGTTACATATAAAACAAGAGCATATACTGTACATAAAAACCACATCATGATTAGTAGAGGTCGATCTTTGATCTGGTGAGTGAGGTGTTCAATTATTGACCTTCCCCTCTCATACCTAAGTTGCCGAACCAAGACACTTTGGTAACAACGGACTAATGACCTTTGGCACGAGTCATGGGTTTCCTTGATTTCCCAAAATAAATATTTAGGTGGCGACTGTGATATCTGGCAAAGTAGTCCATATTTGGCATTTGATTCAAATATCGATTTTCCAAAAGATATTGCCGGATTTTGACTCTTTTTGTGTTTTCACTGTTTCACATTGCACTTGTGAAATCAAAATCAGAATCAACATAAATGGAGTCCGAACTATAAGGGCTATTCATTCTTCCGAAAGGGAGGGCGAAAAGCCGAGCTACCACGGGTTATAAATCAAATTCGTTTCAACACTATTTAAACTACTTACTTGATCATCTATCACAATTCCATATGTACACACATTTTACCCAATTGCACAAGTAAACAGCGAACACTATCACATTTCAGAACCCAGCTTTAGCAAAACCATTTTAACACAATTTACAAGGCGCTAACCGGGAGGAAATTAAAAAGTATCTCAAAGCGCCACACGTTACTGGTGGCTAGCCAGAAAGAAAACAGAACCTCCATATAGCCCAATAATCCATATGCTTTACCAGCTGCAAACCGGAAGGAAAGTGGAACCTATGTCAATGTGCCACGCTTTACCGGTCACAAGTCAGAAAGAAACATACCCTTCGTATCATTTAATATCACACAATTTTTACTATGTGCAAACCAGAATGAAATCGACACCTATGTGAAAGCGCTACACTTTACTAGGTGCTAACCGAAGGAAAGTGCAATCTCTATATAGAACTTTCATCATTCTCATCAATATGTTCCCATATTTATTAAACCACAACAAATGATCAACAGCACTAACACATGGAATCTAATCAGAACAATCAATAACATTTACAATGTAGAAGAAATTTCTCTTATGGTGCAAAAAGCTTTATCATCACCTGATGTTATTTTCTAGAGAGAGGCTATATATGATGAGATAGATTCACTACTTTCAAATAAAACATGGAAGCTAGTGGATTTACCTCCAAGTTATAAAACTATTGGGTGTAAATGGGTCCTTCGTAAAAAACTTAAACCGGATGGAACTATAGATAAATATAAAGTGAGGCTCTTCGCTAAAGGTTTTAAGCAACAAGTTGATCTTGATTTATTTGATACTTTTTCTCCGGTTACTAGAGTTACATCTATTAGACTATTGATAGCAGTGGCTGCAATTCATGATTTAAAAATTCATCAAATGGATGTGAAAACAACATTTTTAAATGAAGATCTAGATGAGGAGATTTACTTGGACCAACCTGAGGGCTTTGTAGAGTCTGGCCAAGAAAGCAAGGTGTGTAAGCTAACTAAATCCCTTTATAGTTTAAAATAAGCTCCTAAACAGTGGCATGAGAAATTTGATTCCAGCATGTTTGATAATGGCTATAAGACTAATGAATGTGATAAGTGCATATATTATAAAACTTGTGAGAATGCACATGTGATTATTAGCCTATATGTGGATGATCTACTTATCTTTGGCTCTAATTTGCATGTTATAAATGAGACTAAAAATATGTTTAATAGCCACTTTGATATGAAAGATCTTGGTGAAGCCAATTTTATTTTGAGAATTAAAATTAAAAAGACTAATGATGGCATTTTTCTTGATCAGTTGCATTATGTTGAGAAAATTTTAAAGAAATATAATTTTCTAGACTATAAACATGTTGCTACTCTTTTTTATGCAAGCATACATTTATCTGTTGTAACAAATGAAAAAGAAGTGATTAATCAAAAAGAATATGCTAGCATGACTGATAGTTTGAGATATACTACTGATTGTACTAGACCTGACATTGCATATGCTGTTAGAGTGCTTAGCAGATTTACTAGCAAGCCAAGTCGCGATCATTGGCTAGCCATGGGAACAATTATGAGATATTTATTTGGTACCAAAAATTATGGTTTGTTTTATAACAAGTATCCTGCGGGACTTGAGGGATATAGTGATGTTGATTGGAACACTTTGTCAGGTGATTCTCTCTTTACCTCGGGTTTTATTTTTACCTTGGGTGGTGGTGCTATATGTTGGAAGTCTAAAAAATAGACTATAATTGCTAATTCTACAATGGAAGATGAGCTTATAGCGTTAGCTTCAATATGTGAGGAAGTGAATTGGTTGAGAGATTTGTTACATGAAATCCCTTTTTGGGAAAAACCAATTCCTCATGTATTAATTCGTTGTGATAGCACTGCTGCTATTGGTAAAGTGATCAACCATTGTTATAATGGTAAATCCAGGCCTATTCGAAGGAAACATAATAATGCGAGATCCTATTTAAGTAATGGCATCATAACTGTGAATTATGTAAAATCTTGTAATAATCTTGCAGATCCGTTAACCAAGGCCTTGACAAGAGATAGGGTCTGGAATACATCGAGGGGGACGGGTTTGAAGCCTATAAAATCATAGACCATGTATGAGGGCACCCAACCTAGGAACCAGAGATCCTATAACTAGGTTCAATGAAAAGAATGAATCATATGGTGGTTGTAAAAAAATGCACTCCTTAATATTTTGTTGTCCATCCCGATGATGTAAGTGCGTTTGTCCTGTAATGTTAGAGGGTTGAGTTTTTATACTCTTAATGAAATTATATAGCTCTTGTTGAGTGGGGTGTGTAAATTACAGGAATATCCTTGACAGATTTCACCTATGTGAGCATGGAAGTGAGGCCGTTTTCTATGAGAACAAGGCTTATTCTCAAATATGCTCATGAAAACTGGGATAGGCACAAGGCCATAATGTGTTGGCTATTAAAAACTCATGTCAACACCTAGATCATTATGTGTGAGCAGTAATACTTTATTTCCCCTAAGTACTCATAGTTCAAGTCTGAGACTACTACTGACTCTGGAATAGAGGTTGTTGTTTCACTGAAGGTTCAATGCAGAGCACCACTTCATAATGCATACTAGTCAATCTTTGTTTGGTAATCTCTTTTGTCCTTGTTGATATTAAAATGAGTGGGGGATTGTTGGACAATTTTAATATCTTTTATTTATTTTATTATTATTATTATTATTATTTTTTTGTGACCTTTTGTTTTGTTCATGAATGGAGATTAATTGAAAGGTCATGGGCTTGGTGGTGAGTTAATATTTGGAGGTTTTGGGACTCTTCCTTTTCTCTAGTTTAATGGTCATTATTTTTTGATGTAATTTGTAAGGTCCTAGTGGCCTATAAATTTTTCCTTTTATCTACTTTTTTCTAAATCAACTATTTTTTACACTTGAGAGACTACTAGCCAAAGATGGGTGTTTTTTCTTAGTAGACCTTTGGGTTCATCGTCTTGTGCAGAGTTGGCCTGAACCATACGACAAGTGGTCAGGCTATTGTATCCTAAAGGGGACAAGTCATAGTTTAGTAATTGCTGCATCAGTATTTGGGTTCTTCCTACCACAGTGGGCTTGATCTCCTTAAAGAAAGCAAGATACCCGTGTCTTAGCCTGATCTATTTGTATCTCATTTTTTCTTTGCATTATTTATCAATAAAATATAATTCTTCTAGTATTTTCACCAACAAAAGCCCTTACTCTAGATCCACAAACAAACATATGTCTACAATTCCCTGTAGATTTCAGAAGCAGGCTTCAATCACCTCTTGGAAACAACTTCACAGGAAATACCTTTGTTCTTACTTCAATCTCATGCTTGGTGAAAGACCTACTGGAACAACCCCTTCACATCACCATTCAAAAAATTCAAGAAGCAAAAGATATCATCACTGATGAATACATTAAACTCTACACGAAAGCACTTGAATCCTTTGACAAGTTCTTCCCCTCCATGCGCGAATCGACAATAGTGACCGATTGGTTGAAATTCCCTCTCCACGCACTTGATTTTGGTTGGGAAAAGGTTTCGAGTGTAGCTTTCTTGATCACTCTTGTCTCAGACACTGCATTCCTGATGCCAAATCTTGAAGATTCTGATGAAGGGTTCCTGGTAAGAATTGGAATTGAAGGACAACATGTTCAAAGTTTCATTGGCTTCTCCAATGACTTCAATTAGTACCTACAAGAAAAAAATAAAAATAAAATAAAATTTGCCACGATAGTTAATCGTTGGTAAAGATATTTTTTCATCGCATCACAGATAGTATTAGAAACGAAAAAAGTACTACTGGCGACAAAGAGTAAACTTTTAGTAATGAAAAACTATCATGGCAAATACTTTCAACACAAAAAGTCTTTTTTCTAGTAGTAGTGAGTGATGGAATAGTAAAAGTTCCATGCATGCTTTTCCATTTCTAGGGGTAAGACTTTAAATTTTTATGAGTTTTTAGGTGTGTTGCATCAATAAACTGGGGTGATGAAGACTTGTGAGTATTAATGTGCAATTGTTGGTGCTGTTGTGATTTGAAGTTTGTATTAATATGTAGTCTTGTTTGGGAGGCAGTGATGTGAGTTTGATCAAGATTGTATGTGAAAAATAAAATTAAAAGCTTGTCCTCTCAATGGTCCATTTCCATGACTTTTTTTCTTTATCTATGTTCTTATTATTGATAATTGCTATTAATTCAATTAATGTTCATTTCCACGAACATGTGATTTATCTACCTTCTTGATTGTCAGTTTGATATTCATTCAATTGCCTTGAATTTACTCTCAAAGTTAGTCCTCAAACTTAACAAAAATTTTATTTTACAATAAATTACACGCACCTCTCCTGAGGTTTCTGACAATTATAAGACCTTTTCTTATAGTTTCAATAATTACACTAACCTCCCTTACTTTTGAAACTATTATCAAGATTTTCCCACTCTTAGGTTATTTAACAGAATTTGCTGATGTCATATGAAAAATGAAGAAATTGCCCATTAATTACTTTATCTATTAAAATGTGAAATTTAACTCACCTCTTCTAAGATTTTGCATATATATTATCAAAAATCCATACATATTTTACCATTATTTAATAAAATTCTTAAATTTCATGCAATATTAAATAAAAATTTTAAATTGTTAAGACAATATTAAATCATTTAATGCAGAAAAAAAATTAATTAATTTTTATTGATAAAATACTTAAAAATGAATAATCTAAGACTTATTTCACACTACATAAATAACTTAAAATTTATTATTTTAAGTAATGCATTTATTATTTGAATTTTTTTTAAGTGAAAATAAATAGATTTATTTTTGGAAAAATTACCGGTAAATCCTAATTTGAGGAATATTGATCCATTTAGTCTTGTGTTTTTTCTTATGAACAATTTGGTCCTATTTAATTGGTAAGGAATATTTTCCTTTGATTTGGCATGTGTAGAGTTTACATATTTACCCTTGTGTGGGATTTGGTGTGTTTTTTCTTTTTTTGATGTGTGGTAATGATGTTGAGAGTAATGTTTTACATTTCCATTTGTGTATGTGGGTTGTGTAGAGTGGTCAACGGTGGATTGTTTTGCAGTTGTTAATGTTGTTTTTCTTGTAAAGTGGTAACTACTTTTCTGGATTGTTTCTGCATCAAACACGTTCATTGGTTACATAACCATTGCGATGACAATATCCAATTACACATAATAAGTCTAATCGAAAACGACAACCTATACAAGGTCTACACAAACCACTTGAACTTAAATTTGTCAAATGATCACAAACCAGTACTGTAGACATCCCCGAACGTCCCGGGAAAAATCCCGTTTTGTTCATTAGAGCTTACTACAGTTCAGGTCTTAATGTCACGATCCTGTATCTAATCTCGCAGAGTGCAATGCAAGACCGATGAATCATCAAAGAGTCCAAATCCGGCAAATCGTTTTTTTTGAAAAACTGATTTTTAGAAAGAAGTGTCAAACATGGACTGCTTTGCCAGATACAGAGTCGCCACCTAAATATTTATTTTTGGGGAATTTAGGAAACCCCGACTCGTTGCCTAAGGCCACGTGTCCGTCATCATCAAAGTTGCCTCGGCTCGGGAACTTGGGTACGATTGGGGAAGGTCAGCTATGAGCACCCCCGCTCGCCCGATCAAAGATCAGCCACTACTAAGCATGATATCGAGTTTTGAAAACAAATGTGCTCTTATTCCGGATGTTAGCCTAGAATTACTATGTGATGCGCACAACATACAAGTATAGACTGGGTCGCCTGAATTGGAACAAAGCATCTCATGTTCGTTTTGAAAAATGGTTTGAAGGTGCTACTCGCAAGTAGGCTAAGACGTGGATTTTGCCGCCCTCGGGTGGGCTTAGAAAACATGATTGTGCCACTCTCAAGTGGGCTTAAAATTCTCATTCAATGCATTGTTCCAATTCAAATAACCCAACCTCCACGCACAGGCATTTAGACAGTTATATCACATAAGCAAATAGCCTCATGGTAAGCATGATATCATGGCAGTCACTCACACGCATGCAAGGATGCTAAAGCATAAACACTCACCGAGTACTCCAAGCCAAAACAGAAACTAGTTAGTAATCAATGCATGATCCTAGTTCATGTTAAAATGGCTAATGCAACACATGCAAAATGCAACTAAGATGGGCTCGGCTATTCTAAACATGGCATATGAAATGAAACAGATAGCATGTATTCAACTTGGAATTGAGATACAATGCAGTTAGTATGATGCGCTGAGCCTGGTGCATGCAAGACAGATAAATGAATGCAAACATGCGAGCATAAGTATGCTAATTGAAACGTGTCCTAAACTAACCATCATAAGCTGGTAAATAAAAGGGAGAAAGACGTGGGGTTGGAAGACATGCATCACACACACACGCACACTTATTACAACATTGCCCTCCTCGGAGGGTCCGAATGAATAGTACAGAATAAACTAGCTAATCTAAGCTAATTAAATAAATTATTACACAACATGAATTAATTAACGAATTAACTAAGTAAGTAAGGAAACTAGCATGCGAATTAAACAAAATGGACTGCCTCAGCTCTGTTCCGAATGATAAGGGATGCATGCATGCTCGAGTCGCCTCGTCGGGAAATCCATCGCGATGCCCCAATTTGTCTATGTTTGCAACTGGTCCCAAAACACTGTACAAAACTCCAGAAGGCTGAAACTCCACCATGCTGTAGGGATACTACCGACCAGTTTTTGCTGCTGGTTTTCGGTTTACTGCAACAAAAAGCAAGAAAGAGGCATGGCAAAGTATTTTCAACATATGTGTGCACGACCACTCTCCCCGTCATTGCATAAGCTCTAGGGAGTGTAGTCCTCGATCCTTGTGCCACCAATCACGCATCTCAATGCATGATGGCCGAGGAGTCGAATTGCATGACTCAATGTGAAATAGATGCACAAATGAACACAATAAGGCCTAAACTCCATCATAGGTAATCAAGAGTGTCGGCGACCGGGAATCGAAGCACGTTTCGTCACTTTGAGTACGAAACGTCCCTCGTTTCCCGTGTTTGGACTAAACCCTACTCCAAGCACTACGCAACAACTAGAATGGCATGGCATGCAAACACAATGCAACAACTAGCATGCAATCCTAAACGAAATGCAACTAAGTCATGCAAACATGCAAGGAATGACATGCAAAGGTACAACTAGCATACGCAATGCTATGAACTACGAATGGCATACTTCAATGCACATGACGCTATATGGCATACACAACGCACATATGACGATGGACATACACAAAGGCATAATCAAGGCATACACAATGCGATGATCAAGCATGCGACAACATGGACATGGCATACACAATGCAAGATGGACTTAAACTAAAATGTATGGGCCTCAGCCACACTCAAATCAGTGGCCAAACATGATGAAATTAGGCAACCAAAACACATGCAAATATACACAAATGCAAGGGACCAAACCTAATGCACCAAATGTAACTCTACCAAAGCATGGCAAGGGATGAAATATGGCATACAATCACACATTTTTCAGCTCTGAAGTGACATGCAAGATGGTCCCGAATCATGTAAACACCTCACGCAATGCATCCTAGATGGCCCGGATACTGAAACTAGTGAAGTGCATTACACTAGAGGTACACAAAGCAATGCTCAAATGACCCAACCAGCCCCCAAACAGTCCCTATGTAGGTCCAATTCAGTGGAAAAATGGTCTAAAATGATGGCTCAAAATGCATAGAAATGAAGCTCATGCAATGGTCCATAAATGAGGTATTCATGCACAACTCTCAAACACGTTTAAAGAATGGAAAACATGGGAATATGGCACAAGTATAGGCTCTGAAATGACATGCTCAATGACCCCAAAATATGAAAACACCACCATTCAAGCATGCAAGAAGCTTCAAAACTCAAAGCTAGGCATGGGCATTACACTACAAGCATGCATAGCAAGCATCATTCGACCAAGAGACCTAAAAACAGAGCTAACGCAGTCCAAAACATGCACAAAATCAGCTTGGAGTATGGCCAAAATATGCTAGAATCAAAGGCCAAAATAGCATGCAATGTAAGCTAGTAAAGAGGATTTACACTACAAGAATATGAGGCATTCAAGAGGTCACTAAACCAGCAAAACTCAGAGGTATGACATGCCAAATAAATCCCAAAATCCCACTGAAACATGGTCAATGCATGCAAGAATGACATGCTCCTTTGATAAGCTATGAAGAGGGTTGTTCTACACATGCAAGATGGACACCCAATATGGAAAAACAAGCTCTAGGAAGAGCCTATGCAGGTCCTAAACCTCATCAAAAATGGCCTGAAACATGTCTTGGAAGCATGAAAATAAAGGCTCCTTTGTTAGGCCAAATATGCTAGGAAACAAAACAAGGGGAGAGAAAACAGCATGATAGCCACTGAAAATCCACTGCATTTCAGTGGCTAGAAGGCCAAACAAAGGTCAATGCAAAGGCCCTAATGCATGGCTCAAAATAAGATGAAATGAAACATGCAAAGGGGGTAGATGACCCCCAACAGAAAAATGAC